AGCTTTCACCATCACTGAAGGATTCCCACATGCACGTAAAGAGAAAAGAAAAATCATCTTAAAACCTCTGCAAGTATCTCACTTTGCAAGATAGAACAACAGTTCTCCTATAGGCCATGATCAGGAAGACTAATTCCTTCCTAATTGTCTTCTTCATCTATCTAGTCAAAGGTCTCAGGTGCCCAGTGAGGGTGAGTGTCAATATGTCCATGCAGGACAGACGGATCAACTATGTCCTACCTTGCTTGTAATAGTTTTGTGCTGTGTGAATACTTGCATGTCCTGATGCCATCTGATTGTGGAAAGGTGGCCCCACATTCCTTATATTCTGATGGTCTATCTGGGGGAACTCTTCGGGGATAGTTTGTGTATCAGGGTCACAAAAGGATTCCCTCCATTCCTTACGTTCTTAAGTTCTCCCTCTTGTGTGAATTTTTGTATGTACTGAAATGTCTTAATTCTGAAAAAGTTTTCCCCCATTGGTGACAGTTGTAAGATCTCTCTCCAGTTTGAATTCTTCCATGGTTACTGAGGGGAAGTGATCGTCACACTCCCTTCCCATATTCCTTACATTCAGATGGTCTCTCATCTTTGTGAATCTGATTACGGACAGTTAGGCTGAAGGTGAGAAAGTGATTTCTCTATTCCTTACATTCCTAAGGTCTGTCGACTCTGTGAATTTTAATTTGTTTAGTGAGGTAACATGCTGCAAAAATTGTTTTCAAATACTGCTTACATTCATGAGGTCTCTCTCCTGTGTGAATTCTTCTATGTACAGTCAGACGCCTTATATGTCAAAACGTTTTCCCACATTCCTGACATTCAAAAGGTTTCTCTCCTGTATGAATTCTTCTATGTGTAATGAGTGTACCTGACTGAGAAAACGTTTTCCCACATTCCTGACATTCAAAAGGTTTCTCTCCTGTATGAATTCTTCTATGTGTAATGAGTGTACCTGACTGAGAAAACGTTTTCCCACATTCCTGACATTCTTAAGATCACTCTCCTGTGTGAACCGTTCTACGTTTTGTCAGGCTATTTCATCGTGAAAATGTTTTCCCACATTTCTGATATTAATAAGGTCTCTCTACTGTGTGAACTATTCTATGTCAAGTGAGGCAACTTGAATTTGAAAATCGTTTCCCACATTGCTGACATTCGTAAGGTCTGTCTCCTGTGTGGACTCTTCTATGTACAGTGAGATTACCTCATTGGGCAAAGGTTTTCCCACATTCCTGACATTTATAAGATCTGTCTCTCCTGTGTGAATTCTTCTATGCAGTGTGAGCTGATGTGTTCCAGAAAATGTTTTCCCACAGTCCTGACATTCGTAAGGTCTCTCTCCTGTGTGAACTCTTCTATGTAACGTGAGACAACTTGACTTGCGAAATGTTTTTCCACAGTCCTGACATTCATAAGGTCTCTCTCCTGTGTGAATTGTCTTATGTGCTACAAGGCCATTTCTTTGTGAAAATGTTTTCCCACATTCCTGACATGTGTAAGGTCTCTCTCCTGTGTGGACTCTTCTATGTACAGTGAGGGCGCCTGAATTTGAAAATGTTTTCCCACATTCCTGACATGCGTATGGTCTCTCTCCTGTGTGAATTCTTCTATGCAGAGTGAGCTGATCTGATCGGGCAAAGGTTTTCCCACATTCTTGACATTCATAAGATCTGTCTCCTGTGTGAATTCTTCTATGTAACGTGAGCTGACCTGACTGTGAAAACGTTTTCCCACAGACCTGACATTCGTAAGGTCTCTCTCCTGTGTGAATTCTTCTGTGGAGTGTGAGCTGATGTGATCTAGAAAATGTTTTCCCACATTCCTGACATTCGTAAGGTCTCTCTCCTGTGTGAATTCTTCTATGTTCAGTGAGGCGACTTGACTTGCGAAATGTTTTCCCACATTCCTGACATGCATAAGGTCTCTCTCCCGTGTGAACTCTTCTATGTGACGTGAGGTGACTTGACCGTGAAAATGTTTTCCCACAGTCCTGACATTCGTAAGGTCTTTCTCCTGTGTGAATCCTTCTATGTAACGTGAGGTGACCTGATAGTGAAAATGTTTTCCCACACTCCTGACATCCATATGGTCTGTCTCCTGTGTGAATTCTTCTATGTAACCTGAGCGGACCTGACCGGGTAAATGTTTTCCCACACTCCTGACATTTGTAAGGTCTCTCTCCTGTGTGAAGTCTTCTGTGTAACATGAGGTGACGTGAATGTGAAAACTTTTTCCCACAGTCCTGACATTCATAAGGTCTCTCTCCTGTGTGAACTCTTCTATGTACAGTTACAATATTTGCTTGTGAAAATGTTTTCCCAAGGTCCTGACAATCGTAAGGTTTCACACCGTAAGGTCTCTCCCCTGTGTGAACTGCTCGATGTGAAGTGAGGTTCCCTGATTGAGAAAAGGTTTCCCCACCATCTGTACATTGATAAGGTGTCTCCCCTGTGAGAATTTTTCTGTGTTCCTTGAGAGGAGCAAACCATGGGAATGGGTTCCCACATTCTTTATACTCATTAGGCTTCTCTCCTGTGTGCGTTCCTGTGTGTCCTCTAAGATGAGACAAGTGACAAAAGTTCTTCAAACATTCATTGCATTTATAAGGTCTCTGTCCTCCGTCAACTATTCTATGTCTAATGAGGTGCCTGGATTCTAAAAATCCTTTCCCACATTCCTCCCATTCATATTGTCCCTCTCTTGTGTGAATTCCTCTTTGTTCAACGAGGTGATCTGACTGTGAAAAGGTTCTCTCACCTTCCATACACTGAAAAGGTCTCTCTCCTGAGTGAATATTGGCATGGAGAGTTAAAAGAGCAAGCTGAGGAAAGGTTTCCCCACACAGATTACATTCATAAGGTTTCCCATCTGTAGGTCTCCTTAGGCATGTCAAAAAAAGAAAAGGTTTTCCACATACCTCACATTTAGGCTTCTCTACACTGTCAATATTTCTCTTTACTGCACTGTCTGATGTTTGGTTAAGGAGGGCAGAAGAAGTGAAGGGTTTGTCATTTTCCGTATACTCATCAAGGTTATGGAGAAAATTAAACCCTTCTTCAGAAACTACAGGGAAAGGATTCCTCTCTGTAGGTTCATGTTCATCTACCACATGGGTCCAAAATGAAGAGGAGGTACAGAAATCTCTGCCACAATTCTTACATTCATGGCCGGTGTCACCAGTGTCAGTCCTCAACAGGTTTATGTCTACAGGGTTGCAGGAAGAACTTGGAAATCTGATGCGCATGTTCCCAGGGTGAGTGTCTTCCATCCCTTCACCCAGCTCCTGTACTGTTTGACTTTTGGGAAAAATAAACAACACACAGTTGTAACTGAGCGTGTTCCTGTATGCCCACCATAAAACACAATGAAGACGTGTGATTTAACATCTCAGAGTCTCACGTGACTTCATTTAGCAAAAATGTAATTCCTCTAGAACTGCATTTATAAATCTAAATACACTTTGATACCTGTTTCCACAGTCACAATGTTTCTCATGAGTAGCGGTTGTGTTTTGTTATTTGTTTTTTTAATTTCCTGATACTCACCTCCAATAATTCTCTTGGATTTTATGTAGATTTTCTTTGCCACAGAGTTTTACCATCTTCAATGACATGGAAGACCAAGGGTGGGTAGTCTCTAAGAATGTCAACTGAGTACATTCAGAAGATAATGGTTCTCCGTCATTCATGTGTTCACGGCCTGCTATATAACAAAAATAATTTTGACAACACAGAAAGGAAAGAAAAGAGAGGATTAGAGGTTAGGCTGCTCTGAACACACAGTCAAGTGGGCACGTTTTTTAGTTTCTGCCCTTTGACGCTGGATAGGAAACTATTCACTATGAATCCCTTCTGAGACAAATGAAAGACATGATGATATAAATGAGTTTCCTCTGGGTGGATAATTAGAAAGAGGACTCACACAGCACACACGACATCACACAGAACAGTACACACATGACAATGCACAGAACACACAATATCACAGCGGATTCACCTTAATATTACACAGGACACGCATCACAGGAAAAATAGAAAAATGGCTCCCGGACTGGCCTGCTGATGCAGAAAAGTGTGTCCAGTGATTTGTTAAGTTGTAAAATCCAGCAAAAAAGACAATTTTTTCTAACTGGTTCATGAAAATTCCTATTTCTCAACATGAAAGAGATCCATAGAATATTAATGACTTTATAGAGCTTCTCAGCACAGGAGCCCTCGAGAACTCAGGTGGCCTAGTGGCAAGAAGCTGTGCTGCAAACCCAAAGACATGTGGTTCGAATCCACCAGATGCTACGCTGGAGAAGGAGGGGCAATCTCCTCCTGGGCCAGTAGGATCCAATTCCAAAGAATACCTAAACAACAACAGCAACAAAGGAGCAATAAATAAGTGTTATACCCCATGGTCTCTAAGACTAGGTCTTGAATTCTGACCCATAAAAGTTAGAGTGTACCCTTAGGATAATTACATATCTAAATCCACTGAATCACAGAAGAGAAAAGGTGCTCTCAGATACAAAGGCTTCCATGAAGAAATCATTTTCCATGTGTGAGGGCTAAAAGCCAGGTGGCCATGCCTGTTTCATTGAACCTTGTATTCTAATTCTTCTGCCAAAGTTCAAAAGTCATGTGCATGAATTCATTTTCTTTGCAGTCCAAGGATTTGAAAGCATATCAAATCTTATTTTTACCTATGAAGTCCAGGTTTTCTAAGATTTCCATCATCACGTCCCTGTAGAGTTTCTTCTGAGCAGCACTCAACAAGGCCCACTCCTCCTGGGTGAAGAAGATGACCACATCGCCAAGCAGCAATGGTGCCTGAAACACACAGCGTATTCCGGATCAGATCGGTACCGTGTCTCACAATGTGGGCGAGAACAAAGAAGGGGCCTCACACATGCAGAAAACTAAGAAATCATACAGACACAACAAAAGTTCTATTTTCTTCCAAGATCTACTCAGGGCATCAGATTTCAGTCTTGTCTTGGACCTAATTACCACTGAGCAAATCCTGACCATTACTAATCCTGTAGTTAATGAGAGACTTACTCCACAGTCAATGAATCTGTCGGAAGGTTCACTGTGAATATCTATATACATAACCTGTGTTCTGCAACAAAAAAACAGCTCAAAATAGAGAATTGTTGAGTTTGGAAGATAAGTCTGGGGAATAGTCAATTTGATCTTCTTCTGAAAAGATTTGTAAGATCAGTGAAGCAGGGTGACGTCCTACCATCATGGAAACACTGCAGAAGGGAACTATTTTCTTCTGTCTCTTCTATATGAGATTACACAGGGTCCAAAAAAGCATATTGTGGGAAGACAAAGGTTAAACCAAATGCTTACACAGGAACTGAAAGAGGCACAAATACAAGCTGGAATTCCTCTTGTGACAGATCACAAAGAATTAGGCGGTATTTCTCCTGAGATGGGTCAGAGGAGACACGCACTTCGGGAAGACCTGATGGTGTATCTGCTACTCTCAGACTGCTTTTGTAAACCCATCATTCCTGAGAGAAAAGGATGCCAGCAGAGAAACACACAGGCAATTGCTAAAGAATTTTCTCTCTGAGTTATCGTCTGCCAATTTTCAATAAAGGAAAGCGAGATTCTAAGCTGGGGCTGCAGTGTTCAAGCTGTTCGCCTCCTGCCTTCACTCTCTTCTCCCCCTCCTTCTTGGTGCCCTGTCTCTTTATATGTCCTGGTCAACAACACCTTATGGCCATACAAGTTCATGGTTTTTTGTGGGGGTTTTTTTAGGGAGAAAAAAAATCAGTCCTTTCTAGTCACCTGCTCCTCCAGTCAGTAAAAACAAAACAAAACAAAACAAGAAAACAAAAACAACCACCTAGCAGTTTATATAAAGAGGTAGGGGTCTCACCCTCCTTCCCATCAGCCCGCTAAGATCCCTACTCACACTGGATTTTCCTGACACTAATGGAAGGGAACAGCCAGAGGGCTAGCTTTTGAATTACTTGTGTAACTAACTCCTTATTCTCTTAACCATCAGAGCTCCAAAACACTGCTAGAAAAGGCTATGAAGCCAATCACCACAGCACCTGATATACCCATCATGATTTCGGTGATAGTGGAAGATCCCTAACTAATAAAGAAACTGGTGCCAAAACTAGTCTTAGGATACGGCAGAAACGGGTCTAAAGTAACAAGACAGTGAGAGTCGGGGAAAATTACCTCTCAATAGAAATACACTCAATAGCCTAAAAAGATAATCAGAGAACTATGCCTAACCATCAATGTCCACAGTCCAGATATTTAGCTTCTCGGCAAAAGTGAACTTGACTTTTAGAGCCTAGTTCAACAATTCAATAATCATATACGAACTGCCATCAAACAGGAAACCATCCACAATGCAGTAGCTTTTTGGAGGCTGAAGAGCCCACTAGCAAACAATGTCCATCACTTCTGTCCATCAATCTTTTACTGAGCTGTGCAATAACCAGAAAGGTGTTTGCAGCCTAGAACCTATTCCTCCACCACTCCCACAAATAGACAAAAATTATAAAGATGAAACATTAACTCTAGAACATGGGTTAGGACAGGGCAGGATTCAGCTCTGTTGTCCTCCAGGGTCACCCATTTTTTAGAATATTTCATGAGTTCATCATTTTTCAAAGCAGTGTAGTATTTCACTGTGTGAATACACCATAGCTTCTCTATCCATTTGTTTGTTGATGGGCATTTGGGTTGTTTCCAACTCCCTGCAGTTGTGAAGAAAGCTGCGATAAACATGGGTGTGCATGTATCTGCTTGGGTGGGTGTTTTGGTATCTGTAGGGTATATTCCCAACAGTGGAAGTGCTTGGTCAAATTGTATTTCTATTTCCAACTCTTTGAGAAAACGCCATACTGGCTTCCACAGTGGTTACACCATTTTTCACTCCCACCAACAGTTGAAGGAGGTTTCCATTCTCTTTACAACCTCACCAGCATTTCCTCCTTGCTGCTCTGTTAAATTTTGCTACTCTTATTGGTGAGATGATATCTCATAGGTTTTTTGATATGCACCTCTCTTAGAGCTAAGGATTTTCTTAATATTTCATGAACAACTCGGGAGCAAACGTGGTAATGTCTTTATTTTTCCATGAGGTCTACGCCATTCTACTACTGAGCACCTTCCACAGGCCACTGGGATGAGACGCCAGGGCGTCCAGGGCCCTGGGGATCTTCTCCAGAGCCAGGTCTGTGTCCTTTTCACATCTGGACAGATCAAGGTACTGAAAACGCGGGCAACAGCCAAGCCAAGACCAACGGATAAAGGTAAACTACCCAAATGCAAAATGGGCACAGATTATGAAAAGACACTTTACCCAAGAAGACATTCAGATGGCCAACAAACACATGAAGATATAAGAATGGGGGAGAAATACCCGTCACATTATCAAGGCACTTGAAATACCCATCAGGGTGTGAGTGACGTTGAAAGAACACTAAGGAAGATGGTGTCAAAATCAGTTCAGGAACAAAGATGGGAATTACACAGAAAGGAACAAGCTATTGAGGGAGCCAGGGGACAAAGGACTCTCCCCAAAAATATACCAAATGATGCAGAAAGTGAATTTAGATGAACACTGGACCCCAAGATCTTAAATTTCTATATTTCCGTTATTTAGTTTCTCCACCAAACAGAAACTTTAATTTTTTATTCTCATGTGAGAATTAACTTATTGCTGTCCGGCAGAAAATGACCAACAGTGCAGTATGTTTTCTGAGGCCGTGAGGCGCACTAGCACAGAATGTCCTTCGTGCTCTCA